CAAACGTAAACACTATTCTTGTGCCAACTCTTTTTCTTTAACCTACTTATTTTCCTCACAGTATTTATCGCAGTTTGTGTCTTGTTTATGCAAATGTTTTCTATTCTTACCAGCAAAACATAGGCTGCGGACACTCCCTCCACACCCAAGATGATGTTTTCCATTATATTTGTCTAATGAAGCAGTTCTCAAATGAGCGGGCTTTTGCCCGCCAGGGGACATTCGCCAATGTCTAGAGACATTTTGGCTGTCACAACCAGATTGGGGAGTGGAGGCTCCTGACACCTAGTGTGCAGAAGCCAGAGATGCTTCTAAGTCGTCTACAATGCACAGGAGACCCCTCCCCCAACAAAGAATCATCCAGACCACAGTGTCAGTCCTGCCGAGGTTGGGAAACTCTTATCTAATAACATCAGAGATCAGAGTGAGACGAACAAGAGAATATGAGTTTTTCCCAAAGGATGAACTGTTTTAAGAAATGATACACGTGAACCCTGCAATTGTGAAAGCTACCAGCCTTCCGTTCTTATGTGGGATATAATCGTGGCAATCTCTTATAACCCGCTAGTTGCTTTGCCTTTCGGTGATCGTTGGTAAGGCTTTAGGACTTAATTTTAGGGGCACCTGGGTAGCTCAGTCGGCTAAGCGTCTGACTCTTGATTTCAGCTCAGGTCATGATCTCACGGTCCATGAGTTCAAGCCCCACCTGGGGCTCTGCGCAGACAGTGTGGAGCCTGGCTGGGATTCTCTCTCCCTCTGCCTCTCCCCTACTTGCTTCCTCTCGCTCTCAAAATAAATTTTTTAAAAAAATCTTGTAAAGACTAAATTTTAGTAAGTGAGAGGTAATGATTTTCAAAAATGCATTAATTTCTTAGGGCTGTATCTGTGGTTATACATTTCTTTATTGTGTCGTGACTACTGGGAGAAATTGCGAGCTATTTTTGAGGAGTATATATGAATTATTCTTGCCTACACTTTGTCAGAGTATATTTATTAGTCCATTCTAAATCATGTTTAATTTGGGTAATGCTTAAAAGAATCACATGCTAGCTTTCTAGTTTTCAAGGATTTGAGCATTGGCATATTGGTTTCTCTGGCCTGGCACATAGCAGGTGCTTAATAAATACCTTTAAACTGAACTGACATCTTTCTTTTTTTAAGTGGGAGTCCTAAGATCAAAGGAAGTATCTTTCAAAGGGTACCTTTTTTTTTTACGGAAAATGATTGGAGCTGCTAAGAATCAACAAGTTCCCCAAGGCAGTTGTTAATAATTGGTGGCCCTAAAGGAACTTGAATTTCTAAAGAGACGCTTTCACTACTAACCTTCTTGTTCTGTAACAGTCATGCATAGAAAGGTATTATGGCATAATTGTGGACCATGGCAAATGCTAGCACATTTTGATGCATCAGTTATGTGGTTCAGGGGTTACTGGAAAATATGTTAGAGGACCTTGGTGCATTGTCCTATGGGAGATAAGAAAAATGGCGCCAGCATGTTTGGGGGTCTGAAGGCTATGTGGATGGCTCGAAGTTTTGGCAAGGCCTGGGCCCCACCACCAGTATGTTTCAGGAGTAGTTTTCTCTCTGTCCCCAAGGTAGAAATTTCTTGTTATTTCTCTCTCTCCCTCTCTCTTTGTTAAGTGAAATGTTGCGAGCACTCTCAATTTATAAAATAAATGAGTATAGACTGCTTTCATTAAAAGGGGGGTGATGGCAGTAGAGAGCCTGGGGCCCCATTCATTTCTTTCTGTCAACACATGTCGCCACTGTTGGGCCATGGCTCCCGAGAGCACTGTTTTCCCATCAAGCTAGTTCAGTGACACTGCAGGTGGAATTTAGAAAGAGCTGATGAAGCCAAGAAAACTTACTTCTTGGCCTTCTGTTTGACCAGGAGCTCCATTTGAAAGGCAGTAGGTGTGGGATAAGTCAATCAAATACCTGTATGTGCTGAATTTCATAGGCATTGGAGCAAAGCAAGTTCTCTGTCAATGAGAAAGTTGTGTAAATCAGATCATCATATTTCATGGTCACGCCAGTTAGCTGATTTATTATTTTACAGTCAGCATTGAGATACGCAATTTAAATGTAATCTGGAAGTTCCTTGTAAATACTTAAAACATCTAGATTTAAATAAGTCTGAAAGGACTATTAAAGTGCATTCTGAAAGACCTATATGGAGAGTAGAATTAAAAATAAGATCGCTTGGGTGCCAGGGTAGCTCAGTTGGTTAAGTGTCCAATTCTTGATTTCAGCTCAGGTCATGATCTCACAGTTTGTGGGAATGAGTTCTATGTTGGGCTCTGGACTGACTGTACAGAGCCTCCTTGGGATTCTGTCTCTCCCTCTCTCTGCCCCTACCCTGCTCATGCTGTCTCTCAAAATAAAAAAAAATAAACTTGAAAAAAAAGAATAAGATGGGGCATCTGGGTGGCTCAGTTGGTTAAGTGTCTGACTTTTGGTTTTGGCTCAGGTCATGACCTCGTGGTTTGTGGGTTCGAGCCCCACGTGGGGCTCCACGCTGACAGTGCGAAATCTCTCTCTCTCTAGCCCCCCTCTCTGCCCCTCCCCTACTCATGTGTGTTCTGTCTTTCAAAATAAATAATAAACTTTAAAAAAAGTTACAAATCAATCAATCAATAAAAATTTTTTAAATGAAAAGAGTAAGATCACTCAGTTGTCACTAGCTGGAGGGTAGAAGCGACATAAGCAAGCAATGGTGGAAATTGAGAAGAGCATGGGCGAGCAGGTAGACAGCTCAAATTTTTTAGGACGAATGGCTAACTGAGTGGTAGGATGCCAATCAATAAAAACAAATTAGGACACACCGACACTGTAAAATCCACTTTTGTGATACACGTCTGCAGAGGGACACCTGCCAGTAAGTGGAATGTAATATTTCAGGGACAGCGGAAGAGGGTGTCGGTATTGTCAGTGAGACCAGGAGGAGTGGGATTGTTCTGGTACATGTGACACGTTTCTCCAGGATTCCCCAGCAGTTTAGGAACTCAGAAAGTATTAAGAAATGGGAAGCTTATACATTTAAGATGAAACCCTAGCACTTAGCTCTACTGTTTAAACTACTCATAGATCTTTTTAGCTTTTCCTCACTAGTGTGTTTTTTTCATTCATTTTGTTTTGTGTTTTTATAAATGGAAACGTTTAAGATGCTCTTCTCTTCACCCTTCCAGTTCTTTCTCTTATAATGTGACCATTGTTAAAAGTTTAGATACTTCTTAAAAAAAAAAAAAAAGGGGGACTATACACTATAATTATTTTACAACTTGATTTTTCAATTTGTTTTTTTTTTTAATTTTTTTTGTTAACATTTATTCATCTTTGAGACAGAGAGAAAGAGAGAGAGAGAGAGTGGGTGGAGGAGGAGCAGAGAGAGGGAGACACAGAATCTGAAGCAGGCTCCAGGCTCTGAGCTGTCAGCACAGAGCCCGATGCGGGACCCGAACTCACTGGCTGCGAGATCATGACCTGAGCCAAAGTCGGAAGTCGGATGCTTAACTGACTGAGCCACCCAGGCACCCCATCTTTTTCAATTTCTATATCTTGGATATCCCTCTAGGTCAGTGGTTCTCAGATGGGAGAATTTTGCCCCTCGAGAGATAATGTCTGGAGGTATTTTTGATGGTCATGACTGGTTAGGAGAAGGAGAAGTTGCTTCTGGTATCTAGAAGAGGCCAGGGTTGCTATAAACATCCTACAGTGCAAAGGACAGCCTCACAACAAAGAATTATCTGCTCCAAAATGTCAATAGAGCCAAGATTGGAAACCCCATTCTAAGTCAATACACATAAATCTAATTCATTATTTTACAAAGCTTCGTAATACTTCTAGGATGCTGGATCATCGTTCATTCAACTAGTTTCCTATTGATATTTGCGGCTTCTTATTTAGTGATGTTTATATATTTGATATTTAGAAATGAAACGCTCCTATTTGGGTATTTACAACTCATTTGTTTCTTCAAAGAGCAAAAGTAAGTCTTCTCAGAGAGACTCAAAAGAGGAACAGTTAAGAATTCATAGGCTTCTGTATAAAATTAGATTCCGGGTCACTGTGAGTCGAGAGAAATTTGGTTTTGGTAAAAATCACAGACTCACACTAAATGACAAGTCTTCAAGTAAGTTGTTTAAAAGCAGGTCTTCATTTTTTGATTCTTCAAAATTAAAAAAAGAAACAGCAGCAACAACCCTAAGGCCTTTTAAATAACTGCCCACAACAGAAGGGCTGCTCTTGAAGTCACTGCAGTAACTTTCAGAGAAGCTACTTCTGATGATCTCTGCTTCTTCCTCATATGTATTTTTAAAAATCCATTAGTATCTTAAATCATGGCGGGTTGAACGAAAGGGTTCAGAAGAAGAAAGTGATACCCAGTCCTAGAGATGTTGAATGACTTCCAGATGCCATTGACAATGGAATTCAGACTGGGAATGGCCCTCTGGTTAACCACAGAGGGTTTTATAGAAAGGGTGCCCTGAAGCAAACAGATGTTGGCTCTGTGCCTCCCTAAGCCCCTCCTCTCTGCTTGTCAAATGCATTCCTGGAAGGGTCAAGTGAAGACCAGATTCTCCCACCCTTGTAGAGCTGGGTCTACGGGAATGGTACCAGAAGTATGTGTGAGAATGTTGGAAGACCCACCTGGTAAGCTGGGAAGGAGTAAAACCCCTGCTTCAACCCTTTCCTTCTTGCCTGTTTCCTCAATAAGAAGCCTGAGTTGGACGTTTATCCTTCTTTGCCAATAGGCTTTTACTATTATTTTTTAGAGCCATTTAGTGACAGTTCTAGAGTGAAATAGACTAGGCTGGATGATTTGGTCTTAGTGCTTTTGACCCTTCAACTTTGAGGCAAGAGTCCTTCTAGTTAATGAATGAATAGGGACCATCATCCCGGAATAGGTCAGACCTGTCTAAGGAACTGCTAACATTTTCAGCTTGTTGACATTTGGGAAAACGGAGAGCTCACCTCCTCGTTGACTGTTGCCTTTTTAGGACCAGAGCCACACGCAAGTGCCCCAGTACCGTCAGGATCACTCCTTGATCATGAGGTCCATTGTCCACATGACTGATGCTGCTCGCTCTGGGATCATGCCTCCCACTCAGCTCACCACCATCAACCAGTCTCAGCTCAGCGCCCAGTTGGGGTTAAACTTGGGAGGCGCCAATATGCCTCACACGTCTCCTTCACCTCCAGCAAGCAAATCAGCGACACCCTCCCCTTCCAGCTCCATCAATGAAGAGGATGCTGATGAATCCAACAGAGTAAGTTGACTGCCTTAGTGTGTCACGTACCCAAGAATTTCGAATCACCTCATGCTGTGTCTTTGAGTTTCATTCATGGTAGTTCCTGCCTTCTCTTCGTGGATTTGGCTAGCATTTAACTTTATGATGGTTTGATCCCCCCCCCCTTTTACTTTTTTTTTTTTTTTTTTTTTTTTTGTGAAAAGTGTATTCTGCTGGAAATTGGGAGATCTGGCTTCTCCGTCTGATTGTAAGGCATCAAACATGTCACTTAACTCATGTAGGCATGATTTTCCCGGTCTGCAGAAGGGAAGGCTTATACTAGATTCCCCAGGAATTCTATACTAAAGTGCTCTGGTTCTAAGTTAATGTCCATGTGGATAAGTTTCATCCAGTTAGTTGGCTGAGCTGCTGTCACATTGGGGAACCTTGCACCTTGGATGATGTTTATCACTTAGTAAATTCTAATTGTTGCACATCTCTGCTTTTGTCATGGAGAGTGATGCTCAAATATGCATGGGTTGAAATAAAAACTTAGTTGCAGGTGGGACCTTTATGAATGCCTAGAAAGGTATTCTGTTTCATTAAAGTTACCTGTCCAAGATACACAATTACTCATTCTTTATTCATTATGTGTTGTATACCTACTCTGTGTTTTGCCTTGTACTTGGTTCTGGTGACATAAAGATTTATAAGAGAATTACTACCTCTGGGGCTCCCCACTGGGGACGAAAAGCAATGCTTAAAACTAGCTCCAGATGTGATTAGTGGTATAATTGATGTATCTGGTGTGCTAAGATTGTAATCGATTCTGCTTGGGAGAGTGATTTGAGGAAGACTTTATTGAGAAGGTGATATTTGAATTAGGTCTAAGAGGATACATAAAAGTTTGTGAGGCAGAAGAGAGAGGCCAGCATTCTGGTCGAAGGAGCAATGGAAGTACATGTCAATTTACGAGTGTCATGAACAGTTTGATATGGGGAGGAAAGACATAGGCATTGAAGAAAGCAGTAGCTGAAATGTGGAAGCCTTTCTCCTGCAGGTCGTTGAGAGCTGATTAATGATTTGCATAGAGGAATAGCAGAAGCAACTTTATGCTTTAGAAAGATGGCTTTGGCTGTATACAGAATGCGTTACAAAGGGAGGGATGGGAGGAAAGGAAACTAATCAGAAGATCTTTTTGTCATGAAGAGTTTCCTTTTAGCAAAGGAAGGAATGGACAGGAGGTACCAGATCCGTGAGACATATGAGAGGGAGAATCATAAAGTTTTGGTGATCCGCTGGGGTTTGAAGGAATAAAAGATAAATGGGGTTTTAATACGAGAGTTAGCATGGATATCGGCAAATGAGAGAATCAGCCCAGAGAAAGAAGAATGTTACTTTTTCTCCCATGGGAAAGATGAGAGTTTGGCATGGTATGGGTTGAATTTGATGCACCCACATTTGAGCTAGAACTCAGTTCATTGGAGGGAGAACAACCGATTTGGGGACCATCACACGTAGATAGGAAGACGTGGAAGTAATCAGGATTTCTCAGAGTGCATAAGGAGCGCTGAGCATCATTTATTTTTATTTTTAAGTAGCAAATGGAAAAAGAAGAGCTAGAGAAGGTAGAGAGTGATGAAGGAAGAGGGAAGTGAGGTTAGAATCTATTGCAGGGATTTAAAGGAGGGTTTGATCTGTCCTGACATCTTAGCACCCCACTGGATATGTTAGCACCCTACTGGACACAGATTGGGTGAATGGATGACCAGTCTCTGCTCACACTCAAAAGAACTTTCGTAAGGTGACGTGAGAAACAGGGATGTGAATAAGGCACGGCTAGGTTACAACTGGCCATAACACATTTCAGATGGATTCCTTTCATTTCACTCACATTTCCACTGATCTGATACTCACTTCTGTACCACACTGAAATTGTCATGGCTAAGGAGAACCTTATCTGTGACTCCTAGCTTACTCCATTTTAAGCAAGAGTCTAGGTTTCGTGTAAAGGCAAGGAACCCAATTTGTTCTCCTTTAAGCAACTGAGCCGAGAAAGAAAGATTAAAATTATCATTGATTGTGTCTCTTTTGAGGAAAACTATTTCCCCACCTTTCCCAACCCTCTTCAGGCAATCACATGCAGGTTCCTGTGGGAGAATTAATTCTAAGATTTTATTTAAACTGCAAGATTCTAGGGGCGCCTGGGTGGCGCAGTCGGTTAAGCGTCCGACTTCAGCCAGGTCACGATCTCGCGGTCCGTGAGTTCGAGCCCCGCGTCGGGCTCTGGGCTGATGGCTCGGAGCCTGGAGCCTGTTTCCGATTCTGTGTCTCCCTCTCTCTCTGCCCCTCCCCCGTTCATGCTCTGTCTCTCTCTGTCCCAAAAATAAATAAAAACGTTGGAAAAAAAAAAATTAAACTGCAAGATTCTGCATTTCAGGTTTATTCTTAAAAGGTAATGATGTTTAGGGCACGTCATGGTTATCCAAGGAAGATATCAAAGGTTGTCAACATTTGAATGCTACTTTACAGGAAGGGAGATTGAGCTCTTTGGGAAAGGTTGCCCTGGAAATCGCTTTCACCTTGCCACTGGTCAGAGCATTATTGCTGCAAACAGTGCCAAATTTTCTTCCAAGAAACGAATATAGTTGTTGGACTCAATTAGAAAAATCTGTGGTATATGTATGTATCTTTTTCCTTGGGGGCAAAGCAGTATTTTTTCACTGAAGGAAAACTTGGCTCCCACTGAAGCTCTAACCGAAAGGCATCTGACAGCCTTAGGATAAGTTCAGATTCATTAACTAGAATTAAACAAGTCGCATTGATTCTGAGAATTTAAAAAAGAAAAAAAGATGATTGAAAATTATTGCATTCATTGTGGGAGTTATGAAAGATGGCATTTTGGAGAAGAGGTGAGATGTGGCTTACCAGCCTCTGAAGTGGGTAACTACTTGTATGAAGTATGGATGTTGTTACCACTCAAGTAGCGTGTGTAATAGCCCCGCCGAGAAGTGGACTTGTGATACCCCAACACATTGAGGGTCCAGAGCGCTCAGAAACAAGGCACTAATCAGTTTCCTCCCTGAGAATTTCAGTAATTGGATTACATTCCAAATGACTGTCATGCAGAAAGTAATGATACTCTCGGAAAATTTGAATTTAGGATTCAAGACTCAAGGCCATTAAAAACCAATCTGTCAGCAACTTGAGTCTATCTCTGTTGATCTTCCCCCACGACTGGCTTTTAAAACTGGTCTTGTCAAACATTTCAGCATTCGTGATGAAGTTAACGGCAAAATGATCTTCAGTATGGTCCTATTACAATCTAGGGGGATAAAACAAGGCTGATGTATCTTTTCTCCTGCTTCTCTGGTAAGGATATTTTACGATCACTGACGTTAGATAATGGTAGTAGCAGGTTACTCTGGAGCTCATTGGTATATCAATGTAGGGAGCTATACCCATGTCATGTCTGTGGTTTTGATCTCAGAGAGTTTGTATGATAAGTATGTGTGAAGTATTTACTGTCTCTATGGCAGGATTCTTCTGGGCAGAGTTAGTCACCATATATCATAACTCTTTTCTTATCAGTCTTCTTTGTAGCCTGGGTGATTTTAAGTATCAGTTATTGCTCTCATACTGGTTTTTAGTTCAGTGAAGAATACCAATTTTCTTTCTATCTCCAGTTAAAGGACTTTTGACATTGTTTATGTTTCTTGTTATCCTATTCTTCAGAAAGTTTTAATTGCTTAAAGAAATAAAGACGACCTTTCTTTTATTGTGCAAGCTTAGGGATTGTAGCTACTTTCCACTGGCGTTTCTGGAGACCCATTAGCCAAGTAACATTCTGGTAAGATAAAACTTGAAGCTTCAAAAAATCGATTCAGACTGATCATATATATGGCAGGTGACTATGGCAAGGGACCTCATTTCAAATATCTGAATATGATCCACGTCCTGAATTATTATTTAGATTTACTTCTAAGACCTCTGAAAAGGTAAAATATTTTATGCGTACACATGTAATGCACACACACATACACACACACATATGCACACACTTCATTGCCTGGTATAACGTTCTGTTTTTCATTACTCATAATTGCTATTTAGAGCATATGTTGTGAATGTATTGAAGATACTTCTGGGTCTCATTAATCAATGTTCTAAATGCTAATCTCTGCTGTCCAGTTAACTCCAAGAAAACTTACCCCTCCCCTGCTTTCACCAGTGATTCATCCATTGATGAATCTGCTTAACAAAACCTTAAAAGAACAGTTGTGGATCTGGTTAGGTCTTGCTGCCTTCTCTGCGAGTACATTCTAGGCAGTGAATTTTCTTCCTGCTTTGCAGGCCATTGGAGAGAAAAGAGCTGCTCCAGACTCTGGCAAGAAGCCCAAGACTCCAAAGAAAAAGAAAAAGAAAGATCCCAATGAGCCCCAGAAGCCAGTGTCAGCATATGCCCTGTTTTTCAGAGACACACAGGCCGCAATTAAAGGTCAAAACCCCAATGCAACCTTTGGAGAGGTCTCGAAAATCGTTGCGTCTATGTGGGACAGCCTTGGAGAAGAACAAAAGCAGGTGAGGTAGAGATCCATCGTGACCATAAAATCAAGAAGTTACCAGAGTATTTCTTACATCTTCTCTGAGTGAATGTTCGCTCAATACGACTGTTTCCTATGAAGGCCTATCTAAGCTGTGGAATTTAGAGGCGCAGTTGTGTAAACCTAAGCCGCTCCCCAGGTATATGGATTTCTCGGTCCCCCGTAAGGGTTCGTGTTCGGAACCCATTCAGTGGAGAAATGGGGGAAATTCACGCAATATCCTGTAAGCATAAACTTTTGATGATCATCGTTTCACATTAGATAATGTGGTATTTGCCCCCTTGGTTCAGAAAGGGCACTACAAACCGATCAGGACCATCCTGCTTGCCTTTTCTCTGATCATCTTCCCGAACCTTTGTGCCGTCCCGGTGGGTTTCCAAACTTTGAAGCCGCCTCTGCGAGTCTCAGTACTGTCCCCGGGCATTCAAAATTTTATTCCAAGTTCATTTGAAAGCTTGGCTGTATGAGATGTATTGAGAGATTACCAAGCCGGTGGGAGATACTTCCTTTGGGGCCTCACCTCCTATGCTTCCCTTGAGGCTCCTCCACACAAAGGGGAGTTTCATGCACCTCTCATCAAACTCCAGTGACCATTAATGGGATTTCACGTTATGTGTGCTCGGATGACCAGACCTCCCTTGGGAATAAAATGGAATAACCATTTCGGGAATGAGGAGTGCCAAGGCCTCGAGTTTTCTTTTATGAATCATGACCTCATTCCTACTCGCTGGTTACTCTGGGATGGTGCAGCTATAGAATTTGCCCATTTGCAGTGAGCTTATTGTTGTATGTGGCGCACTGATTTTCTGTCCCAGAAATGTAATCCTCAGGGACTGCCAAAGCTGCTGCGTCTTTTACCTCTGGAGACAAAGGCAGTTGCACTTGGGTCTAACACACTACCGTCAGATACTGTTAAGAAAAGGAAGAGCAAATCATGGGATTTGTTTATGTAACTCGTTGGCCTCACTAATGGAAATTTACCACCTTTTAACTATTTCTGCGTTGTTTTTTGTTTTTTTCCTTCAGAAGAAAACTGTGCTAGTTCCGTCTTTTTCTCTTACGTCTTCGCACACCGCACCTGTTGTTGGTGTTATTTTAATCTTCTTACTTGGTGCAGGTTAGACGTGTGTCAGGGCGAGAGAAGACACTGATGGAGAAACTCGTGATTTCCTGTAATTTGAACGATTGGTAGCAAATTTTGCTCTTTTTGCTATACCCCATCCGCTGCCTTAATGCGAGGCCCTCAGCTGGCTCTCTCAAGGCATCTAGGCCACAACCTGAAATCTTTTTTTCTCATTAATCATCGTAAACATCCAAATTGTGCTCCTGTGAGGATGGCAGGGTTTTGTTTTCGTGTGTGTGTGTGTGTGTGTGTGTGTGTGTGTGTGTGTGTGTTTTCACGTTTAAAAGCCAAAGCTACCGAAACCAGCTTTCTCTATGAGTTACGTTGTGACCCAATTTGTGCGGCCGTTCTTTTATGGCTGAGAATTTGTAGGCTAACGGTGATGCTAATTGTGTCTTTTAATAGGTTTATAAAAGGAAAACGGAAGCTGCCAAAAAAGAATACCTGAAGGCCTTGGCTGCGTACAGGGCCAGCCTCGTTTCTAAGGTAAACCCGTGCAGGAACGGCCAGTCTCTGAGTTACGGTGTTGAAAACAGCCCAGTGCACTGAACACATACAGGCAGCTCCCCTTAACAGTTGGGAAAAAAAAAAAAAAAAAAAGGCGTCTTGAACAATTCATTAGCTTATTTGTTCCCATTGGAGATTACCTCAATGATGGTATGAAAAAAAGGAGTTCAGTTAAACCGCTGCATCTCCATTGTTTCCAGAAGCTTCACTTTATGTGTGTTGAGACTGTTTAACAAAACACAAAAATTAAAGACCGATCTCGAATAGCCTCTCATTTTTGCTTTCTGTCAGGGACTGGGATCGGTGTCCATGTCCTCCATTTAAACTGGGCGGTATCGGGGCGCCTGGGTGGCGCAGTCAGTTAAGCGTCCGACTTCAGCCAGGTCACGATCTCGCGGTCCGTGAGTTCGAGCCCCGCGTCAGGCTCTGGGCTGATGGCTCAGAGCCTGGAGCCTGTTTCCGATTCTGTGTCTCCCTCTCTCTCTGCCCCTCCCCCGTTCATGCTCTGTCTCTCTCTGTCCCAAAAATAAATAAAAACGTTGAAAAAAAAAATTAAAAAAAATAAACTGGGCGGTATTTTGGCCAGGTGGTTTGGGACATCCTATCATAAATTCTCGAGTGCTTCTATTATTGTCCTAGGGGATGTTGCAATTTGACCAAACTGTCCCACATCATATACATAAATAAACCTCATGACTTTTTAAAATAAAATTAGGCTCCAAATACTTAAAAAAAAAAAAAAAAAAAAGGACATGTATATGTATTTTACATAGAGGAGCAAATGGGCCCTGATGTATTATAAAATGCACCAGTATCCCAAAGCAAATGTCACTCTGGATTATTATTACCTTGATCCAAAAGGAGTGTGAGCTATTACGTTATATTTTAACATTTAATTAACCTTGTCTTTAGCCTCTCGAGAATTTTGAGAGGCTTTGGGGAGAATAATTTGAACTAATGTTTTCGCTCTTGATGTATTTCGTCTGGCAACCAGGGATTCATTTCCTGTGTCATGCTTGTTGCCACAAGTACCACACGAGGCTGCAGGGCATGGTGGGTGTTGTTGGCAAAGCCATTTCAAAAGGGGCTACTTCCGGGGCACCTGGGTGGCTCAGTCGGTTAAGGGTCCAGCTCTTGGGTTTCGTTCAGGTGATGATCTTGAGGTTCGTGAGTTCGAGCCCCGTGTCAGGCTGCAGAGCCTGCCTGGGATTCTCTCTCCTCGTCTCTCTCTGCCCCTCCCCTGCTGGCTCGCTTTTTTTCTCTCTCTCAAAATAAATAAACTTTAAAAAAAATTTAAAAGGGGCTTCATTCCTTTTTTCTCTTCTTCCCCTGAGTCGTTTCTTCTTTGTATTAAGATCCACCAGCAGCAGCAGTTCAAACCAGATCAAGAGGGGTCCCCCTTGTTTAGCTGTCCGCTGTTAGGACAACTTCCGCGTCATTAGAAAGAGAATACAAACATTCACGAGGTCAATAGTGAGACCTTTTTCTGAGACACTGGAAGACACACATTAAAAGACGTACCAGTTCTGGACTCAGATTTGCCTACTGGCAGAACACAGCCGAATGTGTAGGCTACTGATGCTAAGAATGGAGGTATAGTTGGCTAATTAGATAGAGTGACCCGGCTAGAGGAGCAGTGCACATGTACTTCCTAAGTGGATCATTTATTCATTCATTTACCCAGAAGCAGGCATAGGTGATCTTTGTGTATTAGAGCATGAATAATTGACCACACATGGATTTCAGCCAAGAGGCAGTATCTCAAAAGACATCCAGAAAATAGCAACCATGATTGGGCTCATCGAGTCTGTGACTGATGTGGAAGGGATACCATAAAAGTTATACATCGGGGACTAGAGTCACGATTCAGAAGTATGTCAGAATAAAGCTTAGTGAGTCCCCCAAACCAACAGGATGGAATTTAAAAAGAATAAATATAAAGCAGTGTTTGTTTGGGGTATTTTGGGTTTTTGTTTTTGTTTTTGTTTTTGTTTTCACTAAGTTAGTGAAGTTTGAGAGCATCCTTAATTTATATTCAGAGTCCTGGCAGGTACCTAAAATAGTCCGTGAAGTAGAAGTTCAGAATAATTTCAGTCCGAACCAAAAGTGTAAAATAGCTTCTAATGTGATGATCTCACAGGAAATAGTATCTAATTGTACAGCATGGTGATTAGACCACATCTGAAGTATCGGTTCCATTTTGGAATCCAAAATTTAAAGGGGCGTGGTAACTAACCAACAAAAGTTAATAGAAGCTTAATATTAAAACACAGGGAGTAAACCTGGCAGGCAAGCAAGAGCTGTTTCCACTCGCCCACCCATTTCTCTTCACCAGTATGGTGGTGTCTTAAAGGCACACTGGTGTGATTGGCCAGGGGTCTAAATATAGACTTCCCTTGCAGTTTCATTCTTAAGACTAGCTGGGTGATTTTTAAATATTAGAATATATAAGAATTGTTTTCCTGTTTATATGTAGAACACTGTGTGTATTCTACCTTATGGGTGATTTCATAGTTTTGTTTTTTTTTTAATTTTTTTTTCAACGTTTTTTATTTATTTTTGGGACAGAGAGAGACACAGCATGAACGGGGGAGGGGCAGAGAGAGAGGGAGACACAGAATCGGAAACAGGCTCCAGGCTCCGAGCCATCAGCCCAGAGCCCGACGCGGGGCTCGAACTCACGGACCGCGAGATCGTGACCTGGCTGAAGTCGGACGCTTAACCGACTGCGCCACCCAGGCGCCCCCTCATAGTTTTTTAAAGATGATTAATGAGTCTTTGCAGGCTTCTTCTTACCTGAGGACTTTAGAACGTGAACCTCCAATAGGCATGTAACCCACCAAGCTTCCGTAAAAAATCGGAGAGCTGTCCACCCATAGCTGGTGTTTTGCCATGATGATGTGTTCAAACATAATCCATCAACAATGGCCTCTCCTCCATTGAGTGACTGTCAACATAAGATCACCACTCAGAAGATCCTTCTACTAGTAGAGTTTATAAATGGGAGTAATAAAAAGCTGGAAGTAAACATTCAGTACCATTGAAGAGTGGATGCCAGCTTGATGCCTCCAAGGTGCTCCCACCCTCCCCTTCTAAAAACACCTAATTTTGTGAAGAACAAGAGAAGAAAATAGCCAGTAAGAGCAATCACTTCAGTCACGGTTACATTAGTAAAAGAATTTATCTTTGTGGAGGTGATTACGTATTTTTAGTGCAAAATGTAATAGCCTCTCTCTGTGTTGAGCCTCAGATCAGATCAGTTGTTTATCTTATGACAGATTATTCAGACACCCGAGTGTTGAACGTTCTCCCCTGACCTAGGGCTCCTGTGATAAATTCTGGAAATCTTTGAAGATATTGGGTAAACTAAAACATCTCTTAAGCCATAAAATACTTGCATTTAGTATCTCTAAGGAATTCAGCGACAGTCCTCCTATATTCAAGTGAGCATTGTCATACACTGCCTGGAAGTGTAGAGCTTTGACATTTTCTAGTAGTAGTTTTCTGGTAATAATTAATAAAAAATAGCTAACATTTACTAAAGGCGTCCCCTGTGCCACGCGCTATTCTAAATGCTTGACAACATATGAATTAATTTAATTCTCACAACCTCTACATAAGGTAAATACCATAACACCCCGTTTTATAGGTAAGGAAACTGAGGAACAGGTGGGTGAATTAACTTGCCCAGAGTCATGAAGCTGCCAAGTAGTCGGGCACAATTTGAACTCCCCGGCAGTCTATTGTCTTTTCAGTATGAGTCGTAGTGATGAGGGCTAGCTCAGGCTTCACTGCTGGAGGTGTCGTTTCTTGAACATGTGTATCAGTTATCTTTTGCTACCTTGTGCTGTGTAACACCCAGCCACAAAGCCCAGTGACTTGAAAAGACAAGCATGTGTCTCAGAGGGCGCCAGTGAACTGGCTGGTTCTTCAATCTAGGCCTGACTCGGCAGGATCCACCAGTCCTGCTCATTGGTCTGCAGTCGGCAAGGGGGTTGGACCTGGCTGGGGCTTGTTCTCGGACAAGGCAGTTGGCCGACTGGCTGGCTTTTGAGTGGTGACTGGGCCCTGTGCCCCTTGTCACGCACATGGTTATGGCAGATGCCTAGGAGGGTACAAGGCCAGCCCGATTCAAGGGGTAAGGAATTTGACTCTACCTTTTGGGGGGGGGAGCTGAAAAGTCAAAGGACAGGAAAATGGAGTCCAGAGAAGAAAAATGGTGGTCATTTTTTTTTTTAATCAATTTGCAATACTTAAAAAAAAAAAACAGTTGACTATTTTAAATACTTGGGTATTTTAATATCTGGGGATTTTCTCCCCCCAAATGCAGGCTGCTGCCGAATCCGCAGAAGCCCAGACCATTCGCTCCGTTCAGCAGACCCTGGCGTCCACCAATCTGACATCCTCGCTCCTTCTCAACCCTCCACTGTCGCAGCACGGGACCGTATCAGCCTCACCTCAGACTCTCCAGCAGTCGCTCCCCAGGTCCATCGCCCCCAAACCCCTAACCATGAGACTCCCCATGAACCAGATCGTCACCTCGGTCACCATCGCCGCCAACATGCCCTCGAACATTGGGGCCCCGCTGATAAGCTCCATGGGGACGACCCTGGTGGGCTCGGCGTCCTCCGCCCAGGGGAGCCCTTCCGTGCAAACCCAGCAGCAGCACCTGCAGAGGCAGCAACAGCAGCTCCAGCAGCACCAAATGCAGCAGCAGCTCCAGCAGCAGATGCAGCAGCAGCATTTCCAGCACCACCTGCAGCAGCACCTGCAGCAGCAGCAGCAGCACCTGCAGCAGCAGCTCAGCCAGCAGCAGCTGCAGCAGCAGCTCCAGCAGCAGCTCCAGCTGCAGCAGCTGCAGCAGCACATGCAGCACCCGCCTCAGCCCTCTCCTCGGCAGCCCTCCCCGGTCACCTCCCAGATGACGTCCCCCATCCCCGCCATCGGGAGCCCGCAGCCAGCCTCTCAGCAGCACCAGTCACAGATACAGTCTCAGCCACAGACTCCGGTGTTGTCCCAGGTCAGTATTTTCTGAAGGCGCCCGCGGCGGGCACGCCCGGATTGGCGCACGCGCGTGCGGAGGCGAGTGGCGGAGGAGGGTAACCCGAACGCGGCCGAAGCTTGTAAGTTGCGGTCGGTTATGCAGAAACGTGTCACAGATCACATGGTCCTCTCAAGTGTCTATTAGATAGGCAATAAGAACACAGTGTAGCCGAGTATCACCTTCTAGCTGACTGTAAATCACTTTGTTTTTAAACAAGAAAAGCTGTGCTCTTTTATGTGATGCCTTTTTTATTTATTCAGGCTATACCTACAATATGTGAATCAAACCGTTTAATGAATCCTGGGACGTACTGAGGACTCTAAACTGGCCTCTCTGAGTCATAGAAAACGGCCTTATTTCTCCAGAAGTGAATAAACCGCACTTCCAGGCTATTTGAACTTCCGGAGCCCTAAAAATAAAAAGCACAGTGGTAATTACCTGACATAGGAAGATCCAGTTTCATACAAACATTTGTATGACGTGAATAGTTGATGGCATTTTTTTGTCATGAAAAAAAAAATAATGTAAATCACAGACTTTTGCCAAAGCTCTTATTTTTTTTTTCCTAAATCTCTCCAGAAAAAAAAAAAATACAAGTGATTAGATTCAATTATTGACTTATTTCCACTTTTTTAACCCATGACTTCTCCAAATCAAACCACAGTATATGTTGTAACGATATCTATGACCACTGTTAGCCCATTATGTTCATCCCAATTAGAAGAAAAGAATGTGAATATTATATTCTGTGTTTTGAGTGACAAGTTTCGAAAATAAAAACACTGTATTTTTAAAAGGGAAATGCACTTAAATGAAAACAGTTATTACAAAAGTTAAGATTTAAAAAAAAAATGCAAGAGTTTTTATTATGATGTAATACCGGTAGAATATTTAAAAGGCGCACCACATCTGAATAATCAATGTAAATATTTTCTTTCAAAGTTGTAAGTTTTCATATCATGTGTTGTAAAGTTTTCATACATGAGGCTTTAACGTAAACACTGGTGACATAAACCATTCATTGCTACGTTGCTTATTGTGTTTTTATGCTGTTTTATACTTTTTTATGAGTTATGATAGCAGCGATTAAGTTGTTTGTATTTTGCTTAACTAAAACAAAAAAATGCTTTTATCTTGCTATAGAATAAACACATTTCAGTAAAAACTGTGGACTGTATTTTGATGCAACAACCAGGAAAATGTTCACTTTTCAAATAAAATGATATGTCAAATTTCACTTTCGGTTCCTTGAATACGTATGCGATGGGAAAACAGGCCACATCCCAACTTTTCTTGAGCCAACGCATCATACTCTGTTTTCAGTCGGAAATAGGATGCTCATTGCCAAGAATTCGGGTTGCGTGGCCCACACCCAGGACCTCTTAAAAAATGGAAACTATTTGTTTTAACGATCCTTTTGTTAAGATGCAAGGGACAGGTAAGTATAGAGGAAAAAGCAATTGTCTTGTCTTTGGGGCCAGAACTTGCCGGCAGTGTGTTGGTACTGCTGGTAAGAGGGATGGCGAATGCTGATTCTTAAGCCAAAATCATTATTTCAGTGCTCATTTCTTCCCCCCTTTTCTTGCTCTGTAGTGGCTCCTCTTTGAGAACAGTGTGACCGCTATCCCCAGTTGTCTTGCATGATTAATTACAGCATCTGTCCTGTCAGAAGCTATAATGAAGAGGTCTTGATAAAAATTGCAAATTACCACTGGCAACAGTCTTAAACTGTTTATGATAAAATGAAAATTAAAAACAGCAAGTGTCAGCCCTGACCAGAATCCTAATCTGGAAAACCTGAGGGTGTGAGTAGGGTGTCCGTAGCTCCCGTGCACAAGACATTCAGACATAATGGAATATGGATTCCTCCAAGTTGTTGTTGTATTTTCAAAGAATATTTACTGTATGTTGTGGGCTATGAATAATGAATTCAGCTTTCAATATTTCATAGTCCTCTCGTACTCTGTATTATGTACAAATATTGAACAGCAAGAGATTCTAATTATAAATTTATAGATTTCTTGCTGTAGAAAAATTTATGTCTAAATTGAAGCTTTTCATAAGATGTATTAGTTGACAGGTATCAGTGTTCAAACAGTCTTAGAATGATGCCTAATCACATCGACAAGGAGGCAATTGTGTTCCACAAAGAAATGATCTGCTTGCCTCGGACCCATCAGAAGGAGAGCTGGTGGTAAGAGATTTTCTGTGAATTGAAACTAACATTACATAACAATAAGAACCATTTTATATTCTGTTGTGAAACCTTTAGACAAACGTCTTCAAAATTAATTGCTAAACTACATGTGACAGTAATTGTGTATTAGTTCTGTCATTGTCATTTTGAAAACCCATGAAGTATTGCTTGGGAAAAAAATGTCACTAGTGATAAGACTTAATTGCAAGCGAAGTCTGTTTTCAACTGTTTGCAGTTAGAAGCAGGTGTTGTAACATCTATTAAATGATTTTGTAAATCTTGGGTTTTATCACATTTGATTAAATGCTGCTAAGCCACTGACGGTCAATTTCAAGGCAAAAAAAAAATAGCTTAATTACGACAGTTTAAGAAAATTAATCATCAGGCAAAACTGTATGTTTAAAATGTCAAAAGGCTTGAATCATGAAAAGAATTCTCCAACCTTGTCACCAGATTATTTTTCTCAGAATTCACTAAGGCAGATTATGAATCAACGTGTATTTCAATGTATACATGTGACTGGTTCCTATGCCTGAGAAGTCAGTAAGTACTTGCTGTACTTTGTTGTTGTTGTTGTTACAGGTCAGAAATAAATCAGGGTAATGAAAAATAGACATGAGAAATGTGGCATCTGATTAGTGGGATTTCTAAATGGTCTAACTGCCTTCCCTCTTAAGCGGTCTCCAGTCGTGAAGGAGGCCCCTCCACACCCCCGCCCCTGCCTCTACCACGCACACCTTTTCACTCCCCCTGCCCGGTGTGCGTTGTTTAGTTACTCTAGCTGAATACATTCCCTTTTTTTGCATTAACCTGTACTGCTGTATGATGGAGGAACATAAGGAGTTTTCATTTTTAGCTGACACGGGGGTCATTAGTTCCCAACTCAAAGAACAAAAGCTTAAATGCCTTCGTGCAGCATAATTTTTGCAATTTATTACCACCTGACAGAGGTTTGAAGGCGTTCTAGACAGATGGATTAATATCTCAAGCTTAAGTAGAACTCCTCTGCTGTGTCCATTCAGCGGGTTTCAGACATCTGAATGGTTTCTTTCCCGTAACTCACTTCATGGAGCATTTTTCAGCACTGGACTTCAATCTAACCTTTCCTTCCACCACCCCCCCACCCCCTTTGTTTGGCTTTTGTTTTGCAACAGCTGTTATTATCGTTTTTGGTCAGCTGTGATTGCTGGAGGCAAAATAGGACCAGATGGTGTTTTGCTATGCATGAATGGCGAGTTAGAGGCGTTGAGATTGAATAGGCCAAGTTTGAATGGTGTCTGTATACCACCTGCCTGCCTGGGCTGTGGCACACACATCACAGTGGCAGGATCCGCCGCCGATCTACTAGAATCGGATGGGAAAGTGGGGCGCCGCGGTGGATTTTCCCCATATTTATTGATCTTCCATGCACTAACAGAATAATGCAGTGTACTGTCAATCTGAGTTAATTGGATATGACACAGCATGCGCGCGTAATCTATCACTCTAGAATTCTGGTTCGCTGTAAGGATTTCATTGCTCACGCAGACACACACATATACACACACACACACAGGGCAGAAATTGATGGGCTAAGTAGACACAAGTTTAAAAAAAAAAACAAGTCTGTCTAAAATTATAGACTCACAAGTCTAAGGTTGAGGTTTTGGAAGGAGAAGACCTCAGGATTTGTGTCAGCTAATAATGCAAGGTAAAGAAGAGCCATGATTCTAGTATGTTTACAGAGCCCTCCTATTTGTCAGTTACCCATGAAGCAGTGCACATTTAGAAGAAATGTGCCTTGGTAGGAAAACCGCACAGATTCACAACCAGATTAGAATCCTCTTAGAAAATATTCCTAGATAGAATTTTCTTCTCACCCCCCTCAAATATCGTTAGTTTTGCTGACCATCTGAAGTAAATTTAGGGATAAACACTATCCCTGAATTTTAAAGTCCGTGAACAGCTTAACCCACCATGCTGCTTAGGATCCTACAGGTGTGATGGGTTTGTGTGTGCCAGTGTGTTGGAGGAAAAGCTTAACCACCCACGAAACATGGAGTTAGATATGCAGACAGGCAAGTCCATTTGCCTACGGCCCTAATTACTTAAATTTACTTCTGCTACATGCAAAACACTGTGATAGGTCCCAAAGGAGATAAGAAAATAAACAAGGCCTTCTGTTTACTTTGTATATGTTTGAAATCTTCCATAGTAAAGGTTAAAAAAAAAGAACAGATAATAAGCCATCTTCAACATCAGGAGCTTTTTTATTTTTTATTTTTATTTTTTTAATTTTTTTTTTTTTTATCGTGGTGGAGAAATGTACCCAGCAGACAGAATATGAACATGACAATAAGAGACAAAACAAACTAAACAAATTGTTCTGGGTGATTGTATTTTTGTTTTTTGGGTTTTTTTTTTTTTTTTTTGGTACTCTAAGAAACTGAAAATTTACTTAGAAAGGGAAGAGATTGTAATTGGTTAGGGGCGTTAGGGAAGGCTGCATGGAATCATCGGTGTTTAAGATGTGCCTTGAAGTTTGGGTGGATTTCAGTGGGCCGGGATGGAAGTCCTATCCTGGTAGAAGGAGATGACTCCGGACAACAGGAAGCAGGAGAAAAGCCATTCATGTTGAAATCACAAGCACCATCAAAGCAGCGGTAGACAATATAGCAGACTGGCTACACAGGGCTTCTGGGGAGGCGAGCAGGAGAAAGTTCTAGAAAGGAAGTTAGAAGTTGGATTTGTAGAAGGTCTTGCAAGCCTGGTGAGGGACTTAAAAAGCACTGAAGTTGTCCAAATGAGGAAGGTATGATCAAGATTGATTAAATGCATGCAGGATTGTATCAACTGACTTTTGAGAACGTGGTATCCAGTTGGCTTTAAAGCAGAATGAAAATGGAACAGGATTCCCACTTGAACATATATCTCAAAATTTTAATTATTCACATACTAAATAAAGCTATAACTTCATGCTCTCTCACCTCACCCCACCCCTATCTCCCTGGTGCAAGAATACACCAATGACAGAGCCAAAGGAAGGCATTTTTGGCAACAACTGTAGAATAAGCCTTGTCCCTACATTAGCATCAAGAGGGAAATCATTTTTCTGTGTTTCTGCTGTGAAAAGAAAGCTATTTTCACCACCGGTAAAAAGTACCTCTCGGTGCTTGAACTCCAATGTGATGCATGATGAAAAGAAGCCCTTGCTTTGTGGCCGAGTAAAACCTCAGGCAGGCAGCACTGGGAGGGATGTTGCTTATGGTCTCAATTTCATTTCAAAGAAGAACCTTCACAGATAGAAAATGTGAATGTGGCTGTACACTTCTTAGCAGAGGAATAATGCTCTTTTGTAAAACATCTCATTATCCTGAGCATCTGTATAGTGCTCTGCACTTTTCAAAGCCATTCCCTCGCTAGATAGGGCAGGTGTTAACCCCATGTAACAAATTAGGAAACTGAGGCACAGAGGGACTTGTCACATGTTCTAATATCTCTGCTTGTAAGAGGCACGGTCAGAACTGGAATGGAAATATTCTCATTGTAGATCTGCTTTTTCATCTTTTTAATATTTATTTATTTTGAGAGGGGGAGAGAGGGAGGGTGCGCATGCATTCACGTGTAGGTGGGGGAGGGGCAGAAAGAGAGGGAGACAGAATCCCAAGCTGGCTCCACACTCTCAGTGCAGAGCCCGACACGGGCTCTATCCCACCAACCTTGAGATCATGACCTGAGCTGAAGCCAAAAGAGTCTGGAGCTTAACCAACTGAGCCACCCAGGCACCCCCTTTTTTAATGTTTATTTGTTTATTTTGTCATCTTCTGATATTTGTATATGCCATGTCGAAGACATATATTTATATCTGTTATATATCTGTATATAGACTATGTAGATAAGTGTGTGGATAGTAGATATAGCTAGATAATGGATGATGGATGATGATAGATGATAGCTACAAAGATAGATGATAGATGACAGAAATCCACCAATACAAAAAAGAATAAGTAACCCGCGTTTTCCTCATGGTTGGACAGTCTGTAAACCAGGGTGAATGCCAC